TTTTTTTTAATAATATTTTGTCGCCTACACTTTTGCTCAATGTTTGGCCGAGCTTCTCATTCAATCCTCGTTATGCATTCTGATGGAGCGACCTACAATTTTACGCCGCTTTCGAATGGCTTCGTGAGAAGCTCCGCGGTGTGCCGTTGCCTACCAAGGGGCGGCCGCTGTTAGAAAAAACTTTTTTTAATTTAAATGTCGCTCAGACCAGGGATCGTACCCAGGTGCTAAGAGGTGGTAGTGCGCATCATTAACCAATCAGCCATGGCGAACGGCTGATTCAATTTTATTTTTTTTGCAAAATTTCTATTAGCTAACCTCCACTGCTGAATGTTACTCATACGCAGTGTCCTACTCAGAAAGAAAATCTAAAAACGCAGTCTGGCTATATTTGGCCCCGAGTTTCGTGAGTGTATTAATTTTTGTATGAGTAAACTGTCGCACGCTGTTATATGGTATCTACATTTGTAGACTACCGGCTAGGAGATAGTGATTTTTAAAGGAAGTGTTTTGAAGGCCTTGGAAATAATTTTTTTGTTTATTTAAAAGCCAAAATTGTTTATAAATGATTTTTAGGAAGCTACTAAAAACCGCGGACACGGTTGTAGTGCAAATATTTTATTTATTAAAGATTTTCGGCGAAAATGCTACAAATATAGACTACGAAGCATGCAAAATGCTTTAAGTACAGTTTAATGTTTTCTTTCTTTCTTATTCGGTTTATTTCAAGGATTGAAAAATTACAATGGACAATGTAATATTACTTAATATTCTCAAATACCAGGGATCGGCGTTGCGGCGTTTTATTTTTCCTCCATTTGAGAAAAATTAACCCTTTGGTTTTAAATTTTTGTATCCAAGCAGAAACTCAACTGCGCTATCTCAGAATTCGGTTGAGAAATGCATTATCTCAGCTGCCGATTCAAAAAAGACCTATCTCAGAACATTTTCAATGTATTTCCGTTTGAGATAGGGCGTTTTTGAATAGAATAGAATTCTGAGATAGAGCGTTCTTCAACCAAATTCTGAGAGTTCAAATTCTGAAGTAGGGCGTTCTTGAAAATTTTCCGATATAGGCCATTTTCCAGCAGGCTGCCGAGATAGGTCAATCTTCCACTCAGCCATCGATATGTACATAATTTGGATTTTATATAAGTATGTTTTCAGATTAGAGATTAACATTTTTAAATTGTTACAGCCCAAAAGAAGTATTATTTTTTAAATAAATACATCCAGTTCCTCAAACGCTGCACTCGACAAACATTTGTTGGCAAATATATTTTAAATGATGACTATTAAAAGGTGCGAGTGAGTATACTAGGTGTATGGGTAACTAAGACCTCACGCTTGCAAGGATCTATATCGGGTTAATATTCTATTTGATCAGAAAATATTTATTTTTAACGACTTGATGCCAATTCTATGTAAAAATTTATTTTCCTTATAAAAAATCTATGGAAAACTTCAAAGCCCCCAAAATTAAAACAATACGGCTCTCACTTGGCATTTCCAATTGGCGTCAGTTGGCACAGAAGAAAAACGACTGGTGTGCTTTGTTGAACTCGGCCAAAATCGCTTAGGCGGTTACAGCGCCAAATAAGAAGAAGAAGAAGGGTTTCCCTTTTTTGATATTCTTCAGTTCTGAGAGTGTTAGCAGAAAAATTCGAAAAAGTTGCTTTTTCCATGTAATTTTGGACTACCCTAGTGTACATATTTATGTACGAGCTTTTGAAATTAACAATTTCAAATTATCATAATTTTGTATAGTCTGAACCTTTTTAAATGTTGTTGATTGCTCTTACTATTCAACAAAATTCATAGGACACCCATTTACTTTGAATCTATCATTTTCCATGATTATATACGTAGTTATTATCCTCATAGGATTAAATAGAGTATATATTGCGGCAAAACCTACCTTATCCGCTGCTTTGCTATTGGCACCCAGCTGCGTGAGACGTTATAGAAGTGACCATTATCATTTATAACAGCGGCATAGTGTAGCGCTGTTCGTCCATCGGTGTCGGCGATTGTAGTGGTTTCTGGAAAACGTGCTGCCAAATATCGAACAATATCTGTTGGGAAAAATAAAGAAAAAATTTGAGATGAATACTAATACATATGATTGCGTGTGTCTTTTGTTGCTGCCTATTAATTTTTGTAAATGTATGCAAAATGTATGTATGTGGTTGATACAATCTATAGAAAATCAATATAAGTAAAAATTTATAATTAGCCTCAAAAGCAGATATTTCCACATTTTTGGTTGGTTGGCCTTCGGTGTATTTAAAGTAAACACGAAACTTTGAAGTCATCGTTTTAATAATTTATTATGAATTTTTTTAGTTACGAAAAGCACTTAAAAGTCGTATCCATATGTACTTAGAAGTTTTCAATGTGAAAAATATGAAAACCCCAATACTTCATTGGACGAACTAATTGGTTACATTTCGAGGTAAGCGGTCGGTATCAACAAAAAAAAAACATTAAAAATTGTTCTGAGTATACCATTTTCATTCAGAATTAAGTAGGGCAACATTAAGTATGCAATGATTGTATCTAAGCTAAGACCTACTTTTCACCCATTAGGTGAGGTTAGGAGGGGGTGTGTGTAGACTTTTACATACTTTCGCTCAGAGACAGAATTATCAATTATGAGTTACCCCTTTAAGCGGGTGTCAGGATGAGACAGGTACCCATAATCGAGAGAGTAGCTTCAAGACATTATTCTACTGAACTAATTAATATACTATCCCTAATAAAGCCGAGAAGATCCAACACTTCCACCTTTGCTATGTCGGCCATACAGTTGAAGAAGCGTGAACACAAGTGCTTGCGGCGCTTCGTCTTTGACTCATGCTTATGTTCATCACTGCAGCTTCTCAGAGAGTGCTTGTTGGTATTCGACACCTTCGATGATGCCAGTAAGAACTTTTACTGTAGAGCTATTGAGTTTCAGTATCTCACTCGTCTCTCTCCTACTAAGCCGCGGCCATAATAATAATCTTGTGATCTCACAGTTTTCTCATTTGTTCTCGTTTTGTTAGTCGCCTCCATCATCACTTTTCCTAACGTGATCACTAAAATGGTGGTAGTACGGAGCTATGCGCTTCTTCTATTGGCATCTCTGAACCGCATCTGGCTACCTCATCAGCCGACTCCTTTCGCCCAGCAAAGAGTGACGTTGATACGGCTCAGTGGCGCCAGCGTGATGCGACATTTCAATACAATTCCCGACTTCACTATTTTAGATCCTATTGCCTTCAGTGCTGCCTGACTGTCGACAAAAATATTGGCTTTGTCTTCTGGAATTCTACTACTAAGTAAAAGACTAGCCGCCGTCTCTATAGCGTAGATCTCCGCTTGGAAGATACTGCTGTCGTTCGGTAGATGAAAGGACCGGTTGATCTGCAGGTCTTTCGAATAGGCACCGGCTCCGATTCCTTCATCCATTTTTGAATAGTCTCTGTAGATTTATATACTCCCCTCTTCTGCAGTCAGTCTTGCATTTTATTCTTCAGTAATCAGTGCTGGTTTCTATATCACCCATTACTTTATCTATACAATTTCAGAAAGCTCAAGGGTTTTTTTTAACTCAAGGAGTTATAAACAGCTTTGTACCTATTTTAATACAGAATTACTATATCGATTACCTGTGTTTCCAAAAAGCACAGCTACATGCAGAGGTGTGGCACCGTTGGGTGAAATCTCATCTTTGGCTATCGCAAACTTTCGTCTATCTAAAGCCTGTTGCAGAGCAAGTAAGCTACCTTCGCGTGCCGCCTCGTGAACTCGACGTATTTTACTCTGAAATATAATGCAAATAAAGCTCCAGAGAAGCTGACAAAGCAAATATGTTTCGAAATTTTCATTTCATGGCGGCTTATTCGGCTCGGCTTTGAGACTCATTATTAGACTATGCTCTTAGGTGGGGATCACACGATTTGTACATTTTGGCCAGTCACAGAGGAATGCTGTTTTAAAAATTTGAGTTTAGCTCAATAAAAGAGTTTCTAGACAACATCACTCTGTAACTGTCACAATGTACAAATCGTGTGATCCCAGCTTTAGGTTTTTCCTAAAATTTATTTATTTTATTTTATTTCTTACTTTTTCAATTCCTAATGTTCTCTTATGCCTAAGTACTCACCATATAGCTGGGCACATTACTGAGAAATGCCTGTATATCCGGATTTTGTGATTGCATATTCACCAATTTATTACCATCACCATTGAGAACAATTTGCGCTAACTGCTCCATATCGCCAGAATTAATAACTTTCGTTATGTCGGACTCCTTGAGTTTTCGTGGGATTAGAATTAATCAATAAATGAGCACACAGCTACGACAAGAATTTCCACCAACAACAAAATGTACATAAAAACACACATACAGCAATTAAATAAAAATAGACGACTACTTAATGAAACTTAAATAAGCAAAATTATCAAAAGGCACCAACTACGAATATTCTAACGAAATAGCATTCTATTCGTATACATAAATAACTCAAAAACATTAATCACTTGAAACTGACAATATTTAGAAATTAACTTGTATGCTTAGCGTTAATACTTCATGTACATAAGCAGCAGATTGCGACTGAACTCTATTATCCTCCGATGCGCCAGCCACAAAGCCTTCAATAGCCAGCGATGAGGTAGGCGAACTACCATCAACATTGTCGTATTTATCTTCGTTGTAATTCTCATCAAGTTTATCAGCTGTTTGCGGACCTGTAACCACATACACGTCGTTTTCAGCGTCAGAATCTAATGCTTTTTCAGGCTCCGATTCATATTCAATTGTATTTTCATTTTCAGCTACCAACTCGGTCGCCTGCTCGTTGTTGGGCTAGAGAAAAATGTTCGGCGGTAACAAATATTTATGTAGATTTTTTGATTTTCATTTATTTCGTTTAAAATGTTGTACTGCTTTTTGAAAAACTAAATTTAAAAAAACCAAAAAGGCACTGTTATTTCTCTACAACTTAAGTTGCAATGGAATCGTCATCTACGGTGTCACACAAATAAAAGATATACGATCTATACATATTTACATACAGTGCTCTTGTTAAAAAAAAAAAAAA